CGTTACAAAATTATTGTTGTTGACGTTTCCATGGCAACAATACCACTTGAATCGCTTGTTGTGTGAAGGGTCGCGGCCTATTTAATTAGTCTATGATAAGGAAAACGTTCATTGCACGAAATGTATTATGCGTCGCCCCCTCTCCGTACAATATACCGTACGTTGCCCGACGGACCTTTAGACGGCAGTTTTTGGAAGGCCTTCCCGACAGTTTTCCCCGCAAGCGCCTCTGCGGGCCAGACCTTGGAGAACGACGCGCTCCGCCACTTCATTAAAAAGGCATATTTCTGAAAAAAAAATTAATTAACCCGCCGCGGTGGGGGCAACTCGATAATTCAAAAACGATTAGCATATTAGAAGCGCGCGCCGATCCCCGGGTACCGTTTTCCTTAATGGGATGCGGTCTGGACGGTAGGGAGGCCGGTCAGCTGTTCCGCTTCCGAAAGCCTAGAGTTCGTTCACGCTCCGCGTGCTTTTTCTTATTTTCGAGACGACGTCACGTGCCTGTACGGCCAACTGATGCCATATCGATAATAAATAATAAAAAAAGAGAGATTCCCTATTATCTAAATATTATCGCATCCACCGGCGGCACCCTGAGCTACAGGATTAACTAATTTCCTGGCATGATGACAGTTCTTGCAGGAAAAGATATCTTAAAATAATAGAAAACTTTTCACAATGACCTCACTTCCAGTATCCTTAACTACAGTAAAAACTGTAAAACAAAACAATAAGTACAATATGTTCAACGCTCTGTCTTCGTTTAACTAAACGAATCTAAACTTGTGGCCAAGCCAAATCTTAAATCTCGCTCATGCGCATGTTGAATGGACTTTCTCAAAAATTTAAAATAAAATACCCTAACACGGGAGCCGAACACAATTTTGTTATTTTCATTCTGTTGATTCAATTTCCTCGAGAAATAACACCGAGTTTGATACGTGCTCCAACAATATTAAATAAGCGTAAAAATATGTCACTTTTGATCTTTGTATTATTCATTTAATAGAGATAGAGCCTCCGATATAAACCAAAACATAATCTAAATTACACATTTGGCTTTCTTCAGCGGTTCATTGGGTGCACCCCTGTGACATATTACTTTGTTATCGCTCTGCTCTCTCCTATGGCTCTAGTAGCTATATGGTTGAGCCGGACAGTCAGTGCTGCCAACGCTAATATTAAACGGGACGATTCGTTTGAGTTTGTTATGTTAAGGCCTCTGAAGACAAAGTATACTTGTGCAGTGTTTCTAAGCAAGTGAAACTAAATGAATTCCATTTGTAAGTGATCGCAAGCGACGCGGCGGCCAGAAAGTAGATCACAAGTGCTCATTTCCGATTGAGGGCCCCCAGACGCGTTTGCCCGGCACGGAAGTGCCATATACGGCGCAAGTCGTTGCCATTTCCAGCACGTCAACTCGGGGGGGTTGGGTATTTATGGACGGCTGACGCGCAGATATGGGCGCCGCCTACGTCGCCGTTCGTCGATACCGAAAAGACAAAAAAAAGTGGCAATCTTCGCGGAGTTTTATGACAAATACGCGATCGGACTTGTCCCACGTACGCCGGTCAATGCCAAGGTCGCGTGTTTTCCTTTTAGGTTATGTAACGAGAGTTCCCGTAAAATCGTCCGTCTGTCAGTCGCCTAATGCGTTTTTCCTGTCGCCGTGGCCACGCGTACGCATAAATTAAGCGCGACGCACGTGTTCGGTGGAGCCCCACGGTGGTTCCGATTACGTAGAGGAAATAAGTTTCGTTTTCGCGGCCGCCGTTTCAGCCGCGCCGCCGTTTTCAAGTTCAACGCCTCGGAAGTATCGCTTTTTGCAGACGAATTAATTTAATGTTATGCGCGAGAACGTCGACGATAACGTAGGTACAGTGTGTGCCGAAAATTATGGATCAAACGACAAGTAAATTCCGATTGTTCTAGTTACTTTTGAAATATCGATCAGTGGCCAACGGTGGGTGATATGGAGGTGCCACTGGTTTTGAAAAATAAACTTTTTCTGTTGCTCCGTAACGTGTTTAATTGGGCACCCGTTTGTCCGATATTTGCTACTAGCGACCTCACGCGAACTGTTGAAATTTTTTTCGATGGAGTACCGGCTACGTATCGGTTAAACTGAAAATTGTATATTATACATGCCTGTTTAATATGATATCTTGTTCCGGTAATTACCATTACACTTTACATTTTGGTCCACTCGTTTTTGACAAATCGGCAAGAATAGGAATTTTTTATATAATTTCAAAGAGTGCCCTGACTGACAAATAAAAATGTTTATGTTTGAGATATTGGTAAACAACGTTGATGGTTGAATTATTGTCCAAGCCATTATTGTTAAAATGGTTTTTGGTGAATTTAGCATCCGTGAAAGGAGTGAAAGAATATAAAAATAATGCATTTAATTTTCGTAGAACTCTAGAACTAAGTGCAGCACAATGTCAAAGGAGGATGCAGTTTTGTTTGGATTTTTTAAACAGACATAATGAAAAACATTTTATGGACTGATGAAAGTTCGTTTACTACAAGGAAGGGTTGTAATAGACCAAAATACGCGACATTGGTCTTGAAATTATCCTAGACAAATACACGAAAAAAAATAATCGCCCAATCAATTAATGTATGGTATGATGTCATAGATAGCATATTTTGGGTCGGATGTTTATAGAACAAAAGTTAACTGGAGATCATTATTTGCAACCCTTAGAGCACTAAATAGAACAACATATAGAAGATTTACCACTAAATATATCAGTGCCGATTTTATGGCAGCAAGACGGTGCAAGTTAAATATTTGGAATTGGAAACATGGAAATCTCAGGGGTCGGATAGGGAACGGCGGAACTATGGATTGGTTAGCCAACAGCCCCGACTTAACTTTAATAGATTTTTTTCTTTTGGGGACACAAAAAATCACGTGCACAGAACTCTTTGTAATAATGTCGTGGAACTTTTGCAAGGGATTTCAGAAGCAATCAGTCACTTAAGAGTCAATACAAAAACATTACGACAAGCAAGACATCATACAATTAGAGCGTATGAGAAATGTGTTTAGGAGCATGGTGGTCACACACAGCAGTATTTAGAATTTTTTACCTTAGTGTGTCTTAGTGTGTTTTTGTTCTACTTTAATTTGTAAATAATTATTGTTGTGTAATTGTAATCAGAATAGAATATCTATTAAACACATATAATATACAGTGTGATCTATTAAAAAATATATGATGTAGGCTTATATGTCAGAAAATTAATAGCTTTTTATTATATATGTCACTTGGAAAAAAAATTGGATGCTAACCTTACATTTTGTTTTTCTGTTAACCTTGATATCTCTAAAAACAAAAAAGTTACAGCCAATTAAAATGTTATCGAGATAAATTTTGAACGCACGGTATAGTTATGGGCGAAAAAACTAAAAGTCCTTGAAAATTGCCGTTGCTATAACTAAAAACCGCCAAAAACCTTGCAAATTGTTTTGAATACCCATTACGTTTTTGTTTACTGTACAGGGTGCGCATTAATGTCAAATGTAAAATATTAGCCGTTACAGTTAGGACAATTTGGTCGAAAAACGAAATGCAATCCATGTCGAAAGCCACTTTTGACGTTCGAGATGTTTGAAAAAATATAAATGGAATTACCAATTGTGATGCAGATTTTTTTATATTTTCAAATGTTTGACTTGACTTTCAAATTAAGTCGGGTGCTTATTATTTGAAAGGCACTTTGTTCAGAGTGCGTACACAAAACAATTTCGCAAGAGCAACTAAAAAGTCGCTGTTGTTTTTTTACAAAAATGTGGAGGACGGCGACTTTTGGGACGTCCCGTACACTAAACGCCTAAATTCGTGCGCTAAACTTTCGTCGAATTCTTCGGCGGTGCTGAACGGCGTAGGCATCGAAGACCGTGTGTTTGCGTTTGAAATTATCGCCCCGCGTATAATTGGGGCCCCATAGGTCGTTACGTCGTCGGGCGATCATCGATGCGCCTATAATTAGCACGCGGCCACTACGATCATTAGTGTAAATAATGGCGTAAATTGCACGACGGGGAGGGGTCCCGACCGTTGCTTCCTCCAGCCCTTATTAAAGCGATTATGGCTGCAAATTGAAAGCGGAGAAAAAAAAACGATTCTCATTGCAGAATCTTTGTCTTTTGCTTTTAATGTTGAAAACGAATTTCTTTATGGTGCGTAATAGTATATTAAGCAATAAGTTCGGTAAACGGGATTTGACTCACGAGTTTATTTGGCACGAGCGGAGCGCAGCGGAGCGAGCGCTAAATAAAAGTTAAACCTATTCGTTTATCAGCCCGATCGGTTCCGATATTGTTGTCTCTTTTTAATTGTGTACGTTAGATAGAGAGAGATGTATAATTGGATATGTCATATAAACAACGGAATAAAGACAATTTTCAAACGTTTACGTTGTTTATTTAACTTTGGAAGAAAAATCATCTAAGGATAGAACTTCTAAGTAAGAAAGAGCAGGTCCTACCCTTCAATTTGGTTTTGTTTGTATTACTTATGAGACATGGATATTTGAAAATCGTACAATTGGTCTTGGCAAGATGTTAATACAAAAACTGTAAAAACCACTAAAATTGATGTGAACGGTATGTAAATTTTCTGTGGGAAACTTAAATTATAAATGTCACTCTACTTACCGACTAGTCCACTAGATTTTAATTGTAGCTTATACTACGTAGTATTTAAATTGTCTGATGTATTGCATAACAACCGTGCGGGAAAATCTCCGAAAACATCCGCTTGCTCCCAAACCCGTGCGGTAAAATCCCGGAAATGTCCGAAGTGGCTCGGATTCGTGGGAAACGAAACTGGCGTAGTAAAGTGACGCTTCCCGCACGCTAGATCGATGTGTAATTAGGTATTTTACAGACGGGAGTAGAAAAAGTCTATTACGATGCTGTTAAAAGTTTTTTTTATGATCGAAATGAAACAAAACCGTTCAATTATTCATTTAATCGTTAGAAATCGCACCAGCCGGAACGGACGCCGATGAAATGCCAACCGAGCAGCCCATACTCGTTGTCGCCGCTCAGCACGAGCAGCCAACGGCTACTGCGTTCGCCGCACAAGGCCACCCGCAAGATATCCCGCATACCGTTCAAGGTGCTGGACGCGCCCGAGCTCCAAGACGACTTCTACCTGAACCTGGTCGACTGGTCGGTCCAGAACGTGCTCAGCGTCGGCCTAGGCAGCTGCGTTTACCTGTGGTCCGCGTGCACCAGCCAAGTGACGAGGTTATGTGACCTGTCCGGAGACGCGAACATGGTGACGTCGGTGTCGTGGAGCGAGCGGGGCAATCTGGTCGCGGTCGGCACCCACAACGGCTACGTCACCGTGTGGGACGTCACCGTCAACAAGCAAGTGAACAAATTAATCGGGCACTCGGCCAGAGTCGGCGCACTCGCCTGGAACGGCGACGTGCTCAGTTCCGGCAGCCGGGATCGGATGATACTGCAGCGCGATACCAGGATGCCGCGTAAGTGCGCGATCCAAAGTTCTGCAAAATTGATAGTATTCAGGACTGCCAAAACCTGTCATCGAATGCAAAGCGTATTGAAAACTGGTGTGTCCGTAATAATTTGTCGTTAAATCACATCAAATGTAATGCCACAACGTATTCACTTGATAAGTATCACCCAATTGATATAAGCAATACTTCGCTCCGTACACTCGGCGGTATTCTTGTACAACGTTATTCACAATAATTGATCCGGGCCTCTTATCAAAATTGAACTTTGGTATTTCCAGGGTTACCTCAAGAGTAGATCAAACCTTTTACCTTTCTACGCCGGGTACGAATATTTTAAAATTTTCTCCTTTCCGCAGGATGTGCGATCTGTGCAACTCGGCAAGTTTCCAGCTTGTTGTATTTTCTCCTTATATACTTGACGTTAAAACATATATTTTAAGGAATGGAATATAATTATTTTTTTTTTATTTTACGTTGTATTAGAATTTTGCTGTCCTTTTGCATTTTTTTTTTAATTGGTCACTGTTCTGTAGTTGGGTTTATCCTGTTGAACAGTGTATCTAAATAAATAAATAAATAAGCTGCCAACAACATTGTCTCATAAAATATCCACCCTGACGATTAATACGCTTTTGCATTCGATAAAACTGATCATCCGAGCACTTTTCCCACATCGAGCCGGCCACCTCCAAAACGTGCTTTTTGAACGCATCAATCTCTTCTTCCGGTGTCCAAAATTGTCGCCCACACAATTTATTCTTAATGTATGGGAATAAAAAGTAGTAATTAGGTGCTAAATCAGGACTATATGGTGAATGGCTCATCAAATCAACGTTTTTAATGCTCAAAAAGTTCTTTGTTTGCACTGATGAGCTAGCGTTGTCGTCGTGGAGAGTGATTCGTCTTCAGCGGTTGGTTTTTCTAATTTCTTCGAAGATTTTGGGCAAACAAATGGTTGTATACCATTCAGAATTGACCGTTTTACCTTTCACCAAAGAAACAGTTACGAGGCCAGTTTCCCTGAAAAAACAGGCTACCATTTGCTTCATAGTGCTTCGCGCAGGAACAGCATTTGTGGGCATTGTCTCATTCTGCAAGACCCCCCACACTGTCCACTGCCGCTTACTTTCAGGTTGATATGCATAGATCCACGATTAATCACCTGTCACGATATCATAGACGTATTTGGAAGCAAATTTTTTTATTGGTCAAATATCCCCTAATGCCGAAAGATACCTCGATATCATAGTAAGCCACTTAACGATCCTGCAAAATCAGTTTACGCACTGCGTCATTGTTTTTTTTGGACAACCACCGACTTTGGACGACCTTCACGAAATTCATCCTTAAGAAAACCACGACGACGACTGAAGTCCGAAAACCAGCGATAAACAGTAGTTCTAGATGATGCTTTAACTCCAAGAGTCGAATTAAGTTCATCGATGCATTGTCGAGTTATTAGTCCCCGTCTAACTTGTAAAAAATTATTGCACGATTTAACCGTCATTTATCACAAAAAACGCAAACAACACTGTTGGCCAAAACCTAACCTCAAAATGTCAAACTTCCCTATAAAAACGTTAGTCGCCATATGGCATGTCTAGTTTAAGAAAATCCCGAAATATAAAAGGCAGCCCTCGTAATAACGATCTTCGCAGCGAACGTGGCGGAAAGGAAACTGATCGGGCACCGGCAGGAGGTTTGCGGTCTCAAGTGGTCCCCCGACAACCAGTACTTGGCGTCGGGCGGCAATGACAACCGCCTCTACGTGTGGAACATGCAGTCGTTGTCGCCCGTGCAGACATACACGGACCATTTGGCCGCGGTCAAGGCTATCGCGTGGTCCCCCCACCACCACGGGCTGCTAGCCTCGGGCGGCGGCACCGCCGACCGTTGCATACGTTTCTGGAACACCCTCACGGGCCAGCCGATGCAGAACATCGACACCGGTAAGTGAGGGGGGCGGTCCCGACCCAGCGCGTCCTATCTAACGGTCTCGCGTCTTGCAGGATCGCAGGTGTGCAACCTGGCGTGGTCGAAGCACAGTTCGGAACTGGTATCGACCCACGGATACTCCCAGAACCAGATCCTGGTGTGGAAGTATCCCAGTCTGACGCAGGTCGCGAAGCTCACGGGTCATTCGTACCGCGTGCTGTACCTGGCCCTTTCGCCCGACGGGGAGGCGATCGTGACGGGAGCGGGGGACGAGACGCTCCGGTTTTGGAACGTGTTCAGCAAAGCGCGGTCACAGAAAGAGACCAGATCAGTACTGAGCCTGTACACGGGCATCCGCTAGCCGCCTGTACATTGGCACTAAATGTACGCCTCACGCAACGTGTTCTAATATATTATTTTCTTTTTAAATATACACGCTATTTATATTTGGATCATTTTTGCGGTACAAAACGGGCGCCGCTGGGAGGGGGGTACGTTTTACTCGCTCCCGACCGCAGTTTTTCACACTCTACTTCCGTGAAGTATAGTTCGGGGACCGTTTTAGTTTTATTTTTACACTCTGTACAGAGAGGACTTTATTTTTCATGTGATATACTATATATAATTAAAACATTGAATTTTTTTTCTGAGCGTATAGTCTGTTACAAAGTAGCAAATTTGTAGGTCGGTATTAGGTCGCGTGGATGGATAAACGACATTCATTTAATGACTCTGTGTGCTTGTTGCAATATTGGGGAAATAAACGAACGTTTTTGTGTTGAAACTGTCCGCGTTTTTGTTGCTAATACCACCTCCCCATCCCCATTTATTCAAAGTCTTTCTTTTTTGAATCTGCTTTTTACCAAACTTTTCTTGCCTCCATTTTTCATAAGGTCACTTCGTAAGAGAGATTCTTCAACGTAACTCTGGATTCTTTTAAAACTAATGTGAAATTCCAAATTTACATTTACTTTTGTATCAACCTCTAATTTATTTGTGCATTTTTCCCAAGTTTCTTATAGAAATGGAAATTTGGAGTGCCACAATAATGCGCAGGATTGAAACGACTGGATACCGAATATCATGTCTTTATTTAGGATTTGCTCGCTTTCAAACTCTTGCTTCTCCCACCTGCCCTCGAAAAGCGGGAACTTAAATTATTGCAGGCTCGAAAAATATCTCTAGATCCGGAAAAGGTTCTGCTTCTCGAACGCAGTTTTCCGGAATAAATAAATTATAAAAACGATACCACAGCCAGTTGAGTCTCGGAGAGGGCGTCGTTCAAGAGATGAGCTCGTCCAACGCCTTGTCCCGATTGTTGCCATTGAGGAGCAACGCTTTAGACGCGTCCCGTTCAGAAAAGCCCAAATCTAGAAGCTCCGAAAGCGCCAGCAAATGCTCGACGATCTGGAAATTGACAAAAAATAAATGGAGTCCCCAAAAAAAGCGCGGTCCCTAGCTTACCTTTTTGTAGTCCCCGCCTACCGTTTGGCAAACCCTGGCGACCCGGTCGAGGGGGAATCCCATAGAGCCGATAGATTGGCACAGCGCTTGCTGATCCTTGGGTAACGCGTCCAACGGGTTCATTAAACCTCTGGTTTCGGTACTGCTAGTCACTCGAGATTTAGACGCGTTATTTATATGAGTACTGTTGAGCTCCCGCTCCAGGGATTTCATTATGTCGGGCACACTTCTGTACTCATTGGTCTGCTGAGCGCCAAAAGCGCTGGGCTGACAATAGTACCCGTTGACATGCGAGTAGGCGGAGACTGCTGGTGCGACGTAGCTGGTCGTGGCTTTCTGCGAATAGCCGTCGTTTTTTAGCACTTGCGCCAACACTTCCAGATCGTTGATCGACTTTAGTTCCATGTTATCGAAGGGACTCGACGTGTCGGTCTCAAAATCTGATATGTTGAAAGGTTTCCGTTGTTCGATCAGACTTTTACTCGGTTCATGATTCGTTAACGGAACCGGCGTTAGTATAGTTGAGTAGGTCGGTGCCAGACTCGGGGTTAAAATGTGATTCTGACCGGCCTGTTTGTAGCACACTGTCTCGCGCTCCTCTTTGTTTGCCATCACTATCCTCTCTTCAAACATTTTACGGGCGTCCGCCATGCGTTTTTCTCTCTCTTCCATTTGTGCCATTCGCGCGTTCTTCAATTCCCGCATTTTCTCCACTACCGACGTTTCAAAACCGAAATCGTAGTCGGGAGTAGAGTCCAATAATTGTTTGTTTAAAGCTAACCTCTGAGAATAGGTGACGGGCAGGCTTATTTTACACGGCGGTTTGTATTTTTCTGATATTTTTACTTTCAATTCGTCCGCGTACGAAGCCGTTGCCATGTTATTAATTCTACGGACACAATCGGACTAGTTCATATACGTCGAGACAAATCGCGAACCTCACCCGATTAACCTTCGAAACTGAGAGACTTACGATTTACATTGTCCTAGACGAAATTAAAACTAATTTCGTTCTGATTTAACAATGCATTGTCATTTTCGCATGTCTACTTACAATACGTTCGATCAGCTGTCCAGATTGACAGTGGTCAGCAAGTTGAGCGAGAATTGACGGAACAATCGAGCTTCCTCTTTCCTTCTAACGGCACGAGGAAAACAAAGATATCAACAGGTCATGCGACCGTTTTCGCTCTGACGATATTTTCCTAGCTTATGCGTCCCTGATGGCGAGAAACGTTTATCAGAAATTTTGAGAAAGTGTTCGGAAGAAATCAAAAAACGAAATCGATCAAAAAAACTCCCCGTCGGATCCTAGTCCGATTCGCATGCGAATTAATTCTTCAAAACCGACTTTCTAGAGCAGGCGCGCATACTTTGTGAGAGGTAACACTCGCACAGATTCCCGATGCGTCATCGCCCCTTGAAAATTGTCGCTCAATTTTTAAAAAAGAATTTTTTTTTCGTTTTCCACGCCGTTGTGTTGAATAAGGACGGTTTTATTTTACGATCGACACAGGGATAAATTATAATTTATTTTAAACCACATTCAAATACGGTTGGCAACGGCGACGTCAGAACGAAAAATCCCCAGATGGCAGGATGATTTCGACGTTTGTCGTCTCCACTTTTGTGTTGTTTGGTTGTTGATTAATGAGTAATTAGGTCCGTTTTAATCAGTCCATGAGCGCTTTTAATTGCCCGGCCGCATACATTCGCCTTGTGTCGGGACTATGCTTTGGTGACGCACGGGTTACGGCCTCAAAATTAATTCGTTAGTTTCACGTCCGTTTTTTCCATTTCTTTTTTTTGCCCGTTTCGTATCCCGTTTCTTTAAAAGTATGACCGAGTACAAACTGGTGGTCGTGGGAGCGGGCGGCGTCGGCAAGTCCGCGTTGACCATCCAGCTGATCCAGAACCATTTCGTCGACGAATACGACCCCACGATCGAGGACTCCTATAGGAAGCAGGTGGTCATCGACGGAGAAACGTGCCTTTTAGATATTCTGGACACCGCGGGTCAAGAAGAGTACAGCGCGATGCGGGATCAGTACATGAGAACGGGCGAAGGTTTTCTACTCGTATTTGCCGTCAATTCGGCAAAGAGTTTCGAGGATATAAGCACATATAGGGAACAGATCAAAAGAGTGAAAGACGCGGAGGAGGTGCCCATGGTGTTGGTGGGGAACAAGTGCGACTTGTCCGCCTGGGCGGTAGATATGACTCAAGCGAGGGAGGTAAGCAATTCGGCACACCATATTGGCGTTTTTACTTATGTTTCATACCCGGGGTCTCTTGGGTCTAGGTGGCCAAACAATACGGCATCCCGTTTGTGGAGACGTCGGCCAAGACGCGTATGGGCGTGGACGACGCGTTTTACACTCTCGTTCGCGAGATCCGAAAGGACAAATCGAGGGGTAAGAAACCGAATCGGTTTGCTAGCCCCCACGGCAGAGGTTTTCGATTTCGGTGCTCCCTGCTCTAGGCGAGAGGCAGCCGCGTTCGCGGTAGCCCTTTCCCGATCTCTACGTGCGTCTTTCCAGGTTTGTAGTGGACATTTTTCTCGTGAAAAGCATCGTGACTCGTAAAAAATTAATAATAAAGAAGACCCCTTGAATTTTGTCATATTCTCGGGTCCGTTTTTGCCTCAAATTAAATTCGCTGTACATATTGTAAGATCTTATGAGAGAGAGAGAAAGTTTTTTTTTTGCTTTTTTTCTTTTTTCCTGTTTCCTTATAAACGCACATTGTTGTGATGAATTATATACACCTATTTTTTCATGCGTTTCCGCTGAGGAGGTTCGATCTGACCTCACAGATCCTATTAGATTAATGAAAATAATGAAATCCACACTTTAAGCTGTACTTAAATTCAGTATTCAGTGACACCCCCGCTCGCGAAACTCCCTCGATCCTCTTCAGTCTGTAACCCAATTCGCGTTACGCCCCGCCCCCTTAGACATTTTCTATGAGATTCCCCCTCTACTAATACAAAATAATATATATATTTTGCCTTTCCTATTATATGATTAAAGTTATAAAGCAGTTTATTATTAGGTACATCTTACTAAACACCTATTATTAATAAAATCGTTGAAACATTTGCGACTTTTTTTCGACACATATCCTCTCCTTCATATAATTACAATATTAAAAATAGAATTTACCTACAGATGTCATTGTAGCGCAATTTGCGGTTTGACATTATTTTTTCTCTTTCTGTGGTCCATGAATTTGAAAAATCTGTGCAAACGTCAAAGACAAGGCAACAAAAGTAGAAAGTTTGATCTTTTATAAATATCCATCGTGTGAAATGAATTGCGAAGAATACCGGCAGCAGGTAAAATTATATAAAAGCCACCACAGATGCGGGGCTGATTAACCGCTGTCTTTAAGCTGATTCAAATCGACGGTATCCTCGAGGCCTGCGATGACGACCAGCAAAAGGCAGAGTTACTCTCTCTAAAGCAAAACATTGAAGAATTGTTGTCGTTGTCGGCCGAACCGTCGAATAGCCTTCACCATGATCCGTTAGACAACGAATATTCGTTGTTCTTGGTACTATCGAGGTAAGGTTTGGGATGCCTCTGTGATTTGCGAGTTTTAGGCCGAAATGGCCAAGGAAGAGGCCGCCCCTCGAAATCCATACAAGGACATCGAGGGCAAAAAGTTCCGGGCGCCGCACGCACACCGTTTCGGTCAAACCGTGTACCACAACGCGATGGTCTGTTCAGTTCCGTCAGAAATAGGCAATCAAGATTTCGAGGTACAATACGCCGATATTTCTTACACCCGAGGTAAAGTATTTTCGTGCAGGTGCGGGTGTTGTTTCTAAACCCGACCCATAAGGAAATGTTGCCCTGCCCATACTACTTTGACATTGAAAAGGACTGCAAATTCTCAGACGACAAGTGCAGATTTTCGCACGGCGAAACGGTGCTATATTCGAGCTTGCGCGAATATGTGGAACCCAAATTCGAGTTTCTTACAGTCGGCAGTTGGGTTTTGGCGAAGCGATCAGATAATCTGTGGTGCCGGGCCAAGATAAAACATATATCTGCAGGCAGCTGCACCATAAAATTTGAAACACAATCAAAGGTGGAAGAAGTCCCCTTGGAACATGTGTTTCCAATGAAATCAGGAGATGAAGAAAGCGAAGAAGAGGATAGCGACACAGAAACAAGCGCGATCAACAGGGACGAGGCTATTATCAACACGAGTTTGATGAACGTTCCCTCCAATCAGGCTTTGGGGGAATGGGAGAAACATACCAAGGTGAAATGGTGCACTGGAATATCACGTCCACATTGTAACGTTCTTTTTAGGGAATTGGTTCACGACTGATGCGCAACATGGGGTACATTGTGGGAGCCGGCTTGGGCAGGGATGGTCTGGGGCGGGTGGACCCGGTACCCGCTATTATTCTACCACCAGGGAAATCGCTAGGTGAGTTGAAGTTCGATTTTAGCAGAGGCCCTTATTTGCCGCCGTTGTAGATTACTGCATGAAGTTAAAGGAAAGACGAGGAGATGTGAATCTCTTCAGCGCAGATAAGAAGTTGAAAAGACGTCAGAGGAGCACCAATTTTAAGCCAGCGCAACCAAAGAAAGATGTCTTCAATGTCGTAAATGAGGCGCTGAGAACGACGAGCCAATCGGACGGTGACAAAAAGGAGAGGCAACGGTTCAGGGAGTCCTTGAAGGTAGAATCTGAAAAGAAACTGAATGTGACAGGGCTCTTGCTGCATGAGAACATCATCAAGTGTGAACGGGCCATTGAAGGATACAAGGAAACATTGGGAAGGAGTCCGGAAGATTCGCATGTTCACAAACGGTTGATTGACAAAATCACCTGGAAGCAGGACATTTTGAAGATGCTGCGCGCCAAATCCGCTTTGCTAGTGCAGGAACAACAGACGAGATTGGACAGGAGGAAGATGACCATATTTTAAATATACCATAGCTAATTTATTAATAAAGTCATTATATACATTTAATTTTTTTTAATTAAACCACCTTTAATGAAAAAAACCATTACAAAATTTCTTCACAGGGAATCAGCTGGTACCGAGAATTGTTCAACAAAACGCGAACATTGCGGAAATTTAAAAGGTCACAGAAAATGCTCGGTCGGTTTTACGTACATTTCTGTTATCCGTGGTTTCACGGGAACATTGATAACGGCGTTGTGCGGTTGGCATTTGTGTAATGAATCGCTCCCTTCCACTCCATTCTCTGCCGAAAGAGGTTAATTGCATTTTGTTTTTGCTCCAAATAAACAGTTACGGTTGAAACTAGCCCGGTTTTTTGGCGACGTAGTTTACGTCTTTTTGTCGCATTCCGCTCGGCGTCGTGGAAAATTAGTAACATCGATCCGGGTGACACTTTTATTGCTTCGAAAGGTTATCCGCAAGTGACAGCTGCTTGGCGAAGCGGTACCGAACCTTGAAAGAGACCGAATCGTACACGTTAGCATGCGAGTTATGCCGCAAGAACATTGAAATGTCGCGAAACAATTTAATCACCTCGAGAAGCATCTCTCCGGCAAGTTTTAACAGTATACATTCGGACAGTGATGGCTTAGAAAACGGACTCGCTGAAGATGCCGTTAGAATCAAGAATAATAGGCCTTCGTCGACATCTCGAACCGCGAAAGCGAAGCGCGTGCGGTTTTACCACAACGGCAATAAGTTTTTCGGTGGCATCGTGGTCCCCGTCGCTCAGGAAAGGTACAGGTGCTTCGAGAGTCTCATGGCAGAGCTGACCAAGATATTGAGTAAAAATGTCACGCTACCCAACGGCGTAAGGAATATATACACTTTAGACGGGAAAAAGGTAAGATTGGCGATTTTTTGCGGCTTTGCGAGATTCGCATTGTTAAACAGTGAGTCACTCAACGATGTTTTATCCACCATGACATTTTGATAAACGAGCGAGAGTGCATTAATCGCGCGATGCATTCGAGTTTCAGAAATGCTAGTTTCGGCATTCATCCGCCAAGAATGTATTTATTTAAATAACACTTGCCAGAAAGCTATCCCAATTATTGCATCTGGCGCCCTAAAAACTACCCTATTTATTTTCACAAGCAATCAAAGTAAAGAGTTTATTTTTATTCCGGGAACTAATGTGGTTACCTATTTTTAAAAGGTCTATTTTGGGTGCGACGGAATTTTAAAATTTATTATATAAATTTTAACTTTTGCTCGTTGAAAATTAACTTGCTTCATAATTACTATCCCACCATTCCATTTGATAGGAACTAGAAACATCTGGCTCATACATTATTCATGGCCGATGCAATTTTATGCAATGTGATTTTATTGTTCATTGAATTGATTAAAGTTTTGTCAAGTGTAATAGGTTGTACCAGGGTGATTTCATATTATAGTTCTGACTGGAAGAATTTTAACTTAAATAGGCAATAAAATGATATTAGAAAGTATAGGTTTGCTTATTCTAATTGGAACATCTTATAACGAGTAACGATTTCCTAAAGTTCTAATGAATATTTCCGTTTAACGGAATGTTTTTCTATATTTCCCAATAATTCGTCTACATTTCCTTATACTCTAATTATTTGTCAAGTATTAAACCTTATTTGGTTTTAAAACATTAAAATCATATTAACTTTGATGCATAAAGCATTTCGAAGATCAAAATGTTCCAAAACTCATTTATAAAAAAATAATGCTGACTTTAGTTGTAGATGTGGCAAACAAAAACTTATCTTCTGTAATTGGAAATCGGAGACAATGTATAAATTAGTAAGGCGAAGTTTGGTCAACAATGGATACCCTATTAATTATTAAGAAAATGCGTTCATATTTTTAATACTCTTAATGCTAAAATTAAAAAGAAAAAATTTTTTGTCAGGTTATTCAGCTTACTTAATAAACACAATATATTAAGTTTAAGACAATTTGGTTTCCTCATGAAGAGTAATAAATGATGTTATAGCTTTACTTAGTAAATTTATCTCTGGAAACTTAAGTCTTAGCCTACAGTTGTGACTTTTTTAGATTTCACAAAAGATTTTGATACCCTTAATCACGTTATGCTAGAGTCCAAATTGCGGAATATGGGAATAAGAGGTGTAAGTTTGACCTTGGTAGCAAGTTGGCTAGACGTAAATAGTAATAAAAGTCAAGTTACAACAAATGTTGGAGGGAGTGCCGCAGGGCTCAATACTTGGACCAATATTGTTCATCTTTTATATAAATGATTTATTGGTTTTGCAAGATACCTTAATAGCATATGCGGATGATACTGCAGTACCAATGAAAACAAAATCATGTCCCAAACAGCGATATTATCAACTGTGGATATTATATAGTCCTACTCTATAACTAGTACTCAACAAAGACGTCTGTTTTTGTCTCTTGGAAACCATAGAGACTTATGGCCATAATACAAAATGTTATGTTCAGGTGGCTAACAACATAACTTACTATATGTTTTTTATAGACTCAAGGAAATACTAACAAGAACGCATTTATTACAAATTTATTATGGTCTTTTCATAGTGTCCCTGTGTAAGCAGTCATAGGCTGGGGAGGTCTCTACAGTCCAACGTTCGACCCGTCGGATCGGCTTCAGAGGCCTATTCGTAAAATTATTGGAGTAAAGGAACAAAATGCAAATGTATCACAGAGTATCAAACAAGCGTTTGCAGTAAATTCTATAGTGAATTAAAAAATTAATATATACAAAATCAAATGACACCAATTGGGTATCGGTCAAAGAAGCTATGTGAATTGTGCAGTAAAATATTTTAATGATTTACCTAATGAACTGAAAAATCTCAATGTTGACAAAAAAGGGCTTAAAAAAAGAAAGAAGTATTGCAATCGAATAAATAAAATGTCCGCGGCACATGAAAATGTAATTGTTCCAGAAGAAACAGACAATTGACTCTGTTATAAACTAACTTATAGAGAAATGAAACAGATTGCAAATCTCTGCGCAGGCTCAGAGGTAGTACAACAAATCTTCTCAGCAGAAGATCCCTCTCAGGATAAGAACTGTCCTCCCTGAATATTAGATACTTCAGTAACCTTCTCTGCACACTATCAATGAACTGAGTGTGATAGTGGTGACCATACCTGCGAGCCATAGTCAAGCTTGGACCTAACTTAAAAAGAGAACGTCCGGTCAAATAAAATCCCCAGATCCTTCACAGTGGCAAGTTTAGTCAGGATAGTACCATCCATATTGCAATTAAAAACTATAGGAGTTTTTTTGCGGTGGTAAAAAACCATATTACACTAGCTGACAATATTGATGTTGTCCTGGAGAGTCATGCAGTCCGTACCGGTTTCAATGCATTCATATAGTTTTAGGCAAGCTTGTCGCAGATGATCAAAGATATGAGATCGTCTATAAGTATATTGAACAGAAGTGGTCCAAGATTAGAACGTTGAGGCACACCAGGAGTTGGAACAAAAGGAACTGATCTAAACCCCTTAATCTCAACGAACTGTCGACGGTTCAACATTATTGCACCTTGACACTGTAATCAGCGAATCGGAGAAACCAAATTTTCGAGATGCTTTTTCAATCAGCAAGTGATGATATATGGATGCTTGGCGGAAGTCAGTGCATATCACGTCAACCTGACCTTGCTTGTGGGACTCGCAGACATACGCAGACAGGGAGCATAAGTTGGTGATATATGATCTTTTCGCGTAACTTAGTTTATTTCTAATTTGCGAAAAAATAAATTTATTTAATGTAATCTAATAATATAATAACGATCTTACATTGGAAGACGTTTTTGTTATACCCGTATTAGTAACGTACTGAGACTCTTTAATAAAGCGTGTGGTGTGGTGTGTGGTGTGGTGTGGTGGTGATTTAAACCTTTCTCTCGCGAAAACCCATTTCAGGTAAACGACATCGACGACTTGGAAGACGGCAAGGAGTACGTGGTGGCCGGTAAGAGCGAGCAGTTCAAAAAGATCGAGTACTCCAGGTCGGACCCCCTGCGCACGCGCAAACCGAACCGGACAAACTCATCGGTCACGTCGACGCCGAAAATTATTGCACCCGATTGCGTACGGCCGCGCATCGTGACCCTCATTCGGCACGGGATCAAACCGAGAAAGGTACCTACTACACCGGCGATTACGGGGACGACGATCACCGCCCTCTCGCCTTTCAGATCATGCGGATCCTGCTCAATCGACGCAACTCCTCCAGCTTGGATCAGGTGCTGAGCGCGTTCTCGGAGTTGGCGCAGGTCGCGGTGAGGAAAGTCTACGGACACGGCGGCCAGCCCGTCACCGACCTCGCGCAGCTCTTTGGCGACGACAGCGTGTTCTTTATCTATGGCAATGAGCGTCAGTCGTCGGACGATTTCGAACTCGACTTCGAGGAGAGCAAAGCGATCCAACAGTACAAAAAGCGCGGTTCCGGTCTCAGAAACGGGTACGGGGGAGGGGGGCGGGGCCAGGGCGTGACGTTTGACGACGGGCATTTCGCAGGAACGCCCCCAAACCGAAGATGCCCAACAAGGAGCTGAACAGGACTTACGATTCGGAGGAGAGTCTGCTGAAAAAGCTGAGCATAGATCCGAACATCGCGCTGCCTCCCGGTCTAAAAGGTCGTTACACCATCGGCAAGACGGTCGGCGAGGGGTGGTTCGCGGTCGTCAGGCTGTGCCGGGAGGTCGCCAGCGGTAAGGAGTACGCGTTGAAGATCATCGACAAGGCAAAGTGCAAGGGCAAGGTGAGGTCGGAGCAGTCTCCGACGTTCACGAACTGGGAGATTATTGCGTTTCCGCAGGAGGACATGATCGAGAACGAGGTAAGGATCCTGCGCACCGTCAACCATCCGAACATCATCACCCTGTTCGGCGACCATGACGCCAAGAACGTCCTTTATTTGGTCTGCGAGTACGTCTCGGGCGGCGACCTCTTCGACGTCATCACCCGCTACCAGAAGTTCACGGAGGACCAGGCGGCATTGATGGTGAAGCACTTGGCGTCCGCATTGGCGTATCTCCACGGACGCGACATCGTCCATCGCGACGTCAAGCCCGAAAACCTACTGGTCGAGATGGAGGCGGACCGCGTCAAGTGCCTAAAACTGGCCGACTTTGGCCTCGCTTGCGAGGTCACCCACCCCCTGTTTACCGTGTGCGGTACCCCGACCTACGTGGCCCCCGAGATCCTCGCCGAAACTGGCTACGGCCTTAAGATCGATGTGTGGGCCGCGGGCGTTATACTCTACATCCTGCTATGCGGCTATCCGCCGTTCGCGAGCCAGGACAACGACCAGGAGAAGCTCTTCGACTCGATCCTGTGCGGCAAGTACGAGTTTCCCGACGAGTATTGGCACGACATATCCGAAAACGCCAAAGAGCTGATCCAGAACATGCTGCAGCTGCTGCCCGAGCTCAGATTCTCCGCCGAGGACGTCCTCGACTATCCTTGGCTCCAGTTGGCCGAATAGGTTTACCAAGGTGGGCTATTTAAACTACTTTATATGACTGATAGTTAGTGACTTCACACTCCTAAAGGGACGCCTTTCTAGATAAAATTGACAACGTAGATCACTCCCCATTTATTCTTTTTCAAACTGTTCTGCTGATGATTCTCTCTTCTTGTCAATTTACAACTCCTGCTCTTCTCAAGTCTTTCTTAACTTCCTCCAGCTAGTCGAATAGGTTTACCAAGGTGGGCTATTTAAACTACTTTATACGATAGATAGATAGTGGCTTCAGACTCCTAAAGGGATGCCTTTCTAGCTCCAATTGACAAGGTAGATCACTCCCCATTTCTACTGTTTCCTACTGCTCTGCTGATGTTTCTCCATTCTTGCCAATATGCTCTTGCTCTTGCTCTTCTCAAGTCTCCTTTAACTTCCTCCAGTTGGTCAAATAGGTTTACCAAGGTGGGCTGTTTAAACTACTTTACATGATAGATAGATAGTGACTTCACACTCCAGGCAAAGAATAAGGGACGCTTTTCTAGGTCCAATTGACAAGGTTTCTTGTCTATTGCCTGTATTCTCTTGCCAATTTACGACTTCTGCTCTCCTCGAGTCCTGCTTAACTTCATCCAACCATCTTGATCTGGGTCTTCCCCTTCTTTTCCCGCCCGGGTTCCACTGTAACGTTGAAAATATTGTTGTCGCCTCTCGTTCTCTCCACGTTAGACCGACCTCTACTGGTATCAAATTCCTCGGTTTTTCCCCGCTTTGCTTTGATGCTAATTGCTGTTCTTTTCATAGTCATTATATAATATAAAGTGTTAAAATAATGTGAAGTACTTCAGATATGGGGTCCAATCCGGTTTGCGATGTAATTTTTATTTGAACTACTTCAATGGAATCGTTAATTTGAACTACTTGCACCCGCCTTTTTTATTGTTTCAGCCAAGCGGCGAGCGTACCTATATTAGCAGTTGTAGGCCGTCTAGATTCCGCCCAAAGCCTTACAGTTCCGCTCAATTTCCTTCTCGTTGGAAGACTTTAGGAAAACAAGTTTTTTTTTTATTGACAAGGGTTTGGCTTTATTTGGACCGCTTCTTTTTAAATTTCCGCCCTGGGATTGGGGAGTCGGAGGAGGGGGCGGTTTCCCGACTTTCCCCATTTTCGACGTTAATTATTAGACGAGCGAATGCGATTATTTATTGTTTTTTTTTTACCCGAGAACTTGTACAGTTTTATTACATATAGATGATGACGTCTATCTTTTTTATATCGTTGCGTGTAGCTTGTAAATAAATTATTTAAATAGAAAATAGCTGTTTGATTCCCCCAAATCTTACACATATCACATTTTACAATAGAAAAGGACAGCTGCTAATGAGGATTCTTCCTTTTTCACATTGTTTGATTACTTTCGTTATGGATATAATTCTTACTAAAATCATTTATAGACTTGCTAGTCAAACAATGTTTTCTTTATATATTTGTAAAATATAAAATTTACAATAATCTAACTTAATTTAAAAATTCAAAATATTTGAGTGTATTTTTTCTCTTTAAATATTGGTTAGGCAATAGCGATATATGCTATTTCAAAAAATACTAAAAATATCTACCTTAAAAATGTATATTATTTTTTCAAAATTTTTTAAAAAATGCTGTTTAAATTTCTTTGACAACTAAGTCAATAGGTAACATAATAAAATGCTAATTTATTTTTCAATTCTAATTAATTCACACAAATTAATTAATTATAACATGGAAATACTTTGAAATATTATTTATTTATTTATAACATTAAAATGGTTTAATTACTTACCAAAAACCAACTAACCAAAAAAATTAACTTTTTGCCAGATACATTACTGTAACCATATCCAACACAAATTTTTTACCATTTTAAGTATTAACACCAGCATGAAATTATTAGTTTGTATTCTACATTCCCAACATTATCACAAACGGATAAACGATTCGAATTATTTTACCGGTTAACTGATTTACTCCCGAAAAACCCAAACGGGTATAAAATATTGCGAAATAATATAAAACTTTTTTTATTACACTTATCTACCGTGGGTATTAACGTGCATGACAAACAAAATAATAATTATCCCTCTCGATCTAACTAAAATTTGCCTCTGCATAATCGAAACCAATTTAGTTCGATAGATGGAGCTCGCTGTAGACGCAACACGTGCCAAGTCAAGAGTACAACAGAATTATTTTATACCGCTTCGTATAGATGGCGCCACCAGCTCTTGCAATTACCATCCCCGCGGAATTATTATTTTTTATTTTTTGGCTAGTTTATCGAATCGCGAAAGTGTGTAAGTTCAAAAAGCAAGTTCGAAGTGACGGTGGTTGTGTTCCTGAATAACCGGAGCACTGAGCAAGTAGCCCGTGGAAAAAAAAGGCCGTCGAAATTGAAATTAAGCTAATGCCGCTCGAAGTCTTGAAGCGACACGACACGAATAACTAATCTAAAGAAAATTGCCCTGTTTTCGCGCAAGTGCCCCGCGTTTCCTGCTTTTTACCCTCCCCGTCCGCGTTGAGACGCAGTGTCGCGCCACCCTCCACGTAAAATACCCGCTGGGGTTTCCGCCGCAAACCGGAAGTGAGGTTAACATACGGTTTCGTGTTTCGAAAACTGATACGGCCGGCGAGTGGTGCGTAAATCATCTTTCTCCGGTAATTCAACTACAGTTTCGGATATTGGTAACTAGTATTTGTGTATGTTACAACCGAACGGTAGTAAAACCTTTCGACGTCGTCATAAACAGTTCCGGGAGTCAATAAACCCGCTCTGAATGTACCATTCATGAGCTTTTATTATCCGAGCCTAATTTTAAAACGTTTCGGGAACACAACAGACACGCGCATTGATCTGCGATTAGCGCACCTGGTTAAAAACAACTGCAGCACGTGCCCCGAAAATAAGCTGTTACGTTTTTTTCTAGTGCGCGATTCAGGACCGAATTGGGAAGTTTTACTCGATCGACCAGCAATACGTTAAGAAATGTGCTGCCCGTAACCGGATCTAAACCCTTCCAAGTTGAAGAACTTTTATATTCCGTGAAGGAATGGATCCGTGTATTGGGATAAGTTTGGAATTGTTTGAAACTGAAGGCGAACATATTAGCCGGTCCGTACCTGTCGTAAGCGTCCAGAAATCTGAATCCAAATTTAACCCCACTTAGGCTCTGTTACCGCTCCCGTCCACAGAAACCAATCGAAATTCCAAAAAAAAAAGAAAATATGTTATGAAGCGTCTAGGACGTAGGCGGAATCTTTTGTCTGCGACGTAGGAGCAAAGTGTGCTGTGTACAGACTTTCCTGGATCGGTCACTCGTTGTGATGTGTAAAAAGGCTATGAAACTACCATGCTGGTCAAAAATAATAACGTTCTGCTAACTGTAAAGGTAAATATTAATCAATTAGTACCAATACCCATGACAAAGTCGGTTGTTTGTTGTTTTGGAGCGGGTTATGGGTTAGGGTTGTGGGTTTTTTGTTATCGCTGGTTTTGGCGACTGTTAAAGCTTGCTTCGATATCGGTTTATAATCAAAGTTTTTCAACGGTACGAGCGAAAACGTGTAATTACTTCCAGTTTCGCATTATCGTGAGAGAATGTTTCTGGAAGCGCTGAGTCGGCGAACGTTTGCAGGACGTCAAGAATGGTGGCGATGAACTCGGCAGACAAGAAATATTCGCCGCAGGAAACGATCCAGGTAAGGCGACATTTTGCTTTTTGCGCTAACGGTGGTGAATTTTTAACGCTCTTCCTATGGCGTTCGCTCTTCGGCCTCTTGTACGCCCAAAATTCCGCAGAAGGATCCGGCGTGTTTATGGATTTACCATTACGGGACGCGCATGCCTCGAGGCGTCGCACGTGCTCTGAGTTTGGGATGGGGAACGGGGTGAGGCGAATACGTGGGGTCCCGTACGCTCCAGACGGTCCAATAACTCGTTGCCATGGAACCAAAATGGCAATTTTAAACTATAAGCATGGCCTAACGCCACAGGATGCGAAACATTTATATAATAATCATAATTTGTTTTTATGGTTGTATATTGTTATATGCAAATGTATAGTAGAGAAGAGGCGAAGTCTAACAGAAGCTACTCCATTTAACCTCTTAAAATTGAAAACTAAATATCAAGTTGTAATTACATTGATAAATTAAATATAGTATAATAGATAAATGTAATAGTAATGAACAATAGAAAGTTATTAAAAGTAAAAATAAAAAGAATAACATTGAACATCAAATTATTTGAGAAGTTGGCAGTTTAAACCTGAATTTTTAGCCAGTTAAGTTCCTTAAAAGTTTCCGTAAGCTGATATTAAGGACACTTCTATGCCTGTATAAATGGCGCAAAACCAAACCAACAAAGATACATATTCCACGAATCCAAGTTTAAAATCAAATATAACACCCAGGTTTTTAGTACAATTCATAATTTTCGAACGTTCACCGTCAATTAATAAATACATTTGGGATACTGGTTCAATGTTAAGTTTAGCCGAAAAGAACATTACACTGCATTTTTTAGCATTAAATTGAAGAATGCAAATTCAAATATTCGATGGATGTATAAATATCAGAAATATAAATTAAGAATAATATAGGTCCCACGACAGACCTTTGCGATACACCTGACGAAACAGGGAGAAATTCAGAGCTTACATGTCAACAGTAACTCTCTGATATCTGTAAGCTAAGTAGTTTTCAAAAAATCGAGTCGAAACATCATCAAAGCATTTGGCGCACATAAGTTTATGGCCAATCCGATCAAAGGCTTCAGAGTAATCTAAAGATATAAGTGATGTAGGATAATGTGATCGTTGATGGGTAAAAGTAGACTAATAGTACTAAAATCTTTTCGAAATCCAGATTGACTGTTAGTGACAATATAATTGGAAATAACATAATCATAAATTTACACATTCATGACTTTCTCCAGAACTTTAGATAAGGTTGGAAGAATTGGACGAAGGTCTGACAACTGGCTGGGGTTGTTATTTTGTGCCAACGGTGCGATCAAAGCAAACTTCCAAATACTAGGAAAATGGCCTACTTCCGAACGGCAATTAATAATATGTGCAACGTATGCTGCGGTAACATGGAGGATCATCTGAAGCATTCTAGCAGGTACACAATCAACGCTAGCAGAATTTGACTGAAAGTTTGAAATAATGGCTTTAATTGAGTCAATAGTTGCGAGTTATAAGGTTTTGGGGCAAAATATGACTTTGTTATTATTTGTATTTATTATCCAAAAGCTCAGATATTGCAAACATTTCCTCGACTAGCTCTTATAGTGTTCTTATCCTCTTGTACTCTTTAGGTATCGCTTCTATATATTCTATAAGAATTGAAATATATTGAATGTATTGACTGAGTTGTTCAAATTTAGCATCCGGTGCACATAAACCTAAATTGGTATCGGCGTCATATTTAAATTCAACATATCGTCCCTCCGTTTCGAAGTTGCAAGTTAACTGTCGTTAGCTTTAACAGGTTCCTCACCTTTTCTTACAGCCAGCCTTCTTTTGAAGGTCATTTCCAGACTTATTGCATTACACGGCCCATTAATAAAGGACGCCGGCCATATTTCAGGAACCGTTGTCTTACAACTTAGAAAAAAATGTTTATGGGTAAATAGGCCAAGAGAGAAAGCTGGAAATTATTTTCAGGTTCATAAAATGGTCGTTAGGGGACGTAACCTCTACTGTAAAATAGAAAAAACGGGTTTTCTCAAAAATATTCCAAATTAACCTATATCAAACCTAATCCAATTTCGACGAACTTAGTTTTGTTTTAAAGAGTATTTCTAAGTCTTCATGGCAATATCACGATATTAATTCTTTTACGAATCGGTAGGAGGCATTTCATGTCAAAAGCAGCTATTTTTATGATTCTTCTCAGACAGGGTTTTAATACAAGAGAAGCAATTTATAGCTTAACCCTCCTACAGAAATGCAGAGAGCATATTATCCGAAGCATAAAAAAAAATAAAAAATGCTTTTTTGCTCTGAAAGTATTTATTTTGTTGCACTTAGTGTGTCAAAAAAAAATAGAAACTCGAAACATGCAAAAAAATATTGGTGCGTAAACGAACCACTGGGGTTTTGGGGCACATAAGATGTAACATATAATTTATACATAAATATACAAAAGAAAGTTCAAATTCGATAGAAAACAACTAAAAGTAGGAGTTTTTCCGGAAAGCCTATTTTTTAGTTCCTCACATGATCTAAATTATCGGATATAGGTGTGTGAGTGTACACAAACTGACC